ACATTTTTAAGATCCTGTTTTAAGGTGGTGTTTTGAAGGACTTGTAACACTTTCTTCAAGAATCTATAGAATTTGGTTTGGAAAAGTAAGTGTAGATACAGGAAAGTTGATGGACTTTATCCAGTTTTTTAGTTTCTTCTATTTTATTCATCTTTACTTATGCAGAGATTCAGATCCTCCTCCAACTCTTATTTTTCTTTTTCCTGTCCTTCCTCTACTCCTTGTCTTTAAGTGCAAAATGCATGTTATAAACAAGCATCATCTCTCCAGTGAGTTTTAATCAGTTTTTCTTCTCTGCACAGTCCCTTCAGTCTGAGCCTGTTCAGTACTAAAGCCTTGCTGCTCTGGTGAAACCTGCTGAGCTCTTAAAATTGAAGTTCTTCATGATGGAGAAGAACTTAAGCAAGGAAGCTGCTCACTCAGAGAAGGAACCTTCAGTACAAGAGATAATAAAACCTTAACACCAAGAGGAGACTTCTTAACAGGCAGCGATTCCTTGTTAATGACTACTGCAGATGCACTGATGTTGAATTTATGGAAATTATTTTACCCCATGTTATATACAGATTTAAATTTTTAATGTTGAGACAGCTTTGAATATATTTCTAATGAGTTTCTTATTAACTTGTATACAGTGTTAAAATATGTATTAAGAGAATATTTTGTTAAGCAATATATAAAAATTATGTAAAAATAGAATATATTTTAATGTAGTGTTCACTTTGCTACAAATGTGTATTTTAAATAATTTTTACGTGTTTATCAAAGATGAAATTTTTTTATGAACAAGATGTTTTTCTTGTTTTATGGGTCCATCATTATTGCTAAAAGCCTAATGTAATTACTTTTTCACTAATTGGTCTTCTGGTGACTTAACGGAAGTCTAACTAGTGAGAGACAAGTTACCACTCTATCAACTGAAAGCACTTGATACGTAGTCTGCTTTCCACTTTCAGCTGCTGATGTTTCAGAAGGAAACACTGAAAGAAAAATAAAGGGAAGATACTTGTTGAGATGTAATGTAACATATGTTCCATTGCAAAGAGAAAGCAGTGTAGCTGATTCAGTTGTACAATTAATGCTTGCTTTCAATTTGTGTTAAAGGAATCTCTTAACTTTTTTTTCAAGGTAGAATGTTAAATTTTGCTATGAAATATATATTTGCAGAAATGAAGGCAAACCAAACTTAAGTTGGTCAGAATGTGTATGTACAATGAACTTTGCAGTGCTGCATACTTACATGTTTTTAACCTACATTTGGCAGTATGTGTATAGTTTCATTAGCAAAGCATACTAAGGTAAATGCTGGGAATATATTTAAATTTTCACTTATCAGTTGGACGCTTCATAAACTTTTTAATTTTAAAACTACTGTTAAACATACAGCTAATGTAAGCTGTACCGCAGAATGATTTTGTCAGAAGATGCTCTGTAACATATAATCAGGCGTGATTAGGAATGAGACTTAGAATGAAGTGGTATTACAGCGAAGTACTAGAGGTCACGTGAGATTTTCAGAACTCCACAACTGAAATGAAGATAAAGTGCCACATTATTTTTTAAAAAGATCAGGTGACAGATTGCTATGGAAAGTTGTGCTGAAAGTGTTAATAAGCAATACTGAGAGCAGCTATATAAAACACTGAATAAAATTTACATGCAATAATGTACTTTTTTCACAACTGTGTATATGTAACATATACACACACAAAGCATATGTGTGCGCATATATATACAATATACTGTATATGAATTATAGATTAATTGTAAGGTAATTCTACCTCTTATAAAGAATTTTGTCATGTACTTTGTTATAAATAGTTTTCCTTAATAAAATATTGTTTAATTTTGAAATGTAGAGAGAGAGAGAGATATATACATATAGCCAATTGATAATAAAATGCCTGTATCAAGTTTTCTTGTTTCTTGGCTTTTCTTACTCAGATCTTTTGATGTACACTAGTATGATCAGATCTCTTAACTGAAGAGCAGCTCTTCAAAATCACCTTTCTTCTAAAGCATGTGATGTATTCATAAATAATGTTGCAAAAAGAGAATACTAGTATTACAGGTATCTTTTAAACCCAGTCTCTCCAGCTAACCTCCTTGTATTTGCTTTGTACAACATCAGGTATTTAATCAGCATGTTGATACTATGATGTGTAAAGGTTGTATTTCAAAATACTGTAATTCAAAAGGTATGTCTGAATTGAGGAAACCCTTTGTTCTTGGACAAGGACCCTTGGTGTCTTTTTTGCACATGTAACAGGTTTCTTAGTCTCGCTGACAGCAGGGTCTTTGCAGGAACCTTTCATTTAGCCTTTTATCCTTCCTTCAGCTAAAAATTAGTCGCAAATGGTTCTAACATTGTTTAACTCTGCTGCTGATTTTTAGCAAATTCGTTGTGTTGTGTATTATTTTCATGGTGCTTAATATTACTGTCAGGTAAGGCTATATTGCAATAGATGATGTGGACAGCATGTCACTGTTACACAGCCACTGTAAAGGAATGGCAAAGCCAGGAATAGAGTGGCTGCTGTCGAAGTTGCCCGAATTCTAGTGACAGTCTCATCTAAAAACACAATTAAAAGCTGCTGCTACTACATTTAAACAATGAATGGATGTTGGTTTGGATGTCTAGAGTAAATAAAAAGGAAGAGCAGCTAATTAAAAAGTTTCTAGTATGTAGGCATCAACCTCTCCCTTAGCCTTTTTCTAGAGTTAACTTCTGTTGATTTATTACATGAAATACAGTAAATGCTAGCTAACATACAGGGTATTTTTTGTTCTCAAAAGTGAATGACAAAGCCAGTATTCTGTAAGAATCAACTTCTTAACAACAACAAATCTGAGGACAGTGAAAGGTCAGGGAGGTCTTTAGAACCTTGTCGCTTTTAAGAAATACCTTGAAATTTGTTTCACAGCATCTCTTCACTTATCCTTGAACTTTAACGTTTCTATTGCTTCATATATAAATATATCACCTTGTCCTGGGAGAACAGGCTGTAGCACATGATGTCTTTAGAAAGAGGTTTGATAAACATGTAAGGATGGATTAAATAAATCTACTGGTCTCTACCAGGCCTATGATTCTGTAGCTAATGCATTATGAAACTGTTCGGTGATCTCTTTAAAGTATGCTTTATGAAGCCTTTTGGTTAAGGAGCTATTTCTTGTTACAGATTTAGAGAATATTTTTCTATTACAGTACTGCAGAAAGAGGAGGATTTTAGTTTCTGGAATAACTGTTCTCTACTGACAGCTAAACAATGAAAGGCCTCAAAAGGTTTGACACTTGATTAGATCTACACTGTAAAGTGCAGCAGGCAAAAAATATGGTAATTAAGGTCCTGATCAAGTAAATCACTCAGGTATGTCTTTAAAGTTAAGCACATGAGCAATCTAATTAATTAAGAACACAGATACTCATGTTTGTGACACATCCACATTTGTATCAATAGTCCCATCAATTGCAAATACAAGCCTTTCTGACAAATAAAATATGTGCTGTGTTGCAACAAAATAACCCATTGACCCACACAGATTAATTATCTTAAAGAATTTATACTGTACTGTAACTACATCCTAATGTATTATTTTGGTATTGTCATTTGTTAGATATCTTTGCTCAATATACAGGTCATACCTTATGAGGGGAGACTGCTTACTTCTGTAGCCCACATATAACTCACTTTTAAAAGCAGCTTTTCTCCTAAACTCACCACAGAATTAATCCGCATTCCTTTTCTGGAAAGCCCTTGAGAGCAAATATAAGTTCTTTTACTCAGTGTCTTATTAAATATTGTCCAGGATAAGGAGAGTTAACATTTTGTCACTGTTTGAGTAAAGCATTGTAGAGTTCTTGGGAGAACTGCACTGCTAACTCTTCTCCATTTGGGAAAGGACTGTTAAGTCCTGCTCTTCAACCAGCTTTTAGTCTGCCTGAGAACCTGTCATTCACCTCTGCGCAAACTTGTGCTATGAATTAATTTTAGTCCAAGACCATTTCAAACGCTACACTGATTCTGTTTTATCTGTGTACTGACTGACACCAGCATTCATCTCCAGCAGGTTGGAGACACAGGATCTCCTGCAGGCTGAAACGGCTGAGTTTTAAGAAATGCAGAATACGTAGACTGAGGACCAGGTTCCTCAAATAAGAAGTTCTGTCTTACCAAGGATCTGTGTATCTATCAAGTTGGAAAGATTTAATTTGGAAAGTATATTGTTGTTATAGAACCATTCTAAAATTAAGCTTGCAGAAGCATAGTGTGCTTTCTCTTAACAAAAATAAGATCAGAAACAAACAGTTTAAGCGAGTATCTAGCAGAGGAGTTTCTACAGTAAATTGATTGTATCTCAGACAGAAGTGACTGATACTGGTTTGAAATCCTGCTGCAAATGGAAGTTGTGTAAATGGGTTAGAACCAGGAAACTGGTAAGGCAAAGAGAAAAGAGTCAGACTGTAGTTGCAGTATTTCTGGAGCATGATAGGGTTTGGGTTTTTTTTTTTTCTTCTTGATTTAACAAGTTGAAAATCTGCTGAATAATTCATGAAGAGTGGAAGGGCTGAATCTTCCTGGAATGATATACAGTGTACGTACTGTGGCACAGGAGAAACTGCAAAGCTTTGTATCAGTTGCTGCCGTTTCTGCTGCTGATTGCAAAGTGCTGCTGCTTTTGGCATTTTCACAGCTACAGACTCCTCAGTCGTGCTCGGGTCTGCTACAGCAATCTGCTCCCTATGGACCCACCTTTGCTAGCTACAATCTGGGGGATCTCTTGTTACTTACCTGCCTTGGACACTGCTGTTCTCTGGATCGTTACTGCAAACTGCATTTTTTGGACCTCACAGCTTGTATGACTGAAACCTGCCTTAGAGTCCCTCAGTGGCACATCCTCCCTTGTGCTTGATGGGGGACTCCTGCAGCAGCACCTTCTGACCCCAGACAAGGATGGGATTTACAGGAAGAAGTCAGAACTGAGCTGCATTCAGCGAGATGCCCAACGCCTCTTCCTGGAGTGCTAGCTCTCCTCTACTGCTGCTCTGGGAGGACTCCTCCGGGACCCGCATCTTCCTGTCACTGCTCTATGCGGTCTTAGCTATCTCAGGGACTTTATCCAATGTGATGGTCATCTATTTAGTCTTCTCCTTCAAGAAGCTGCAGACAACCAGTAATGCCTTCATCGTGAACGGCTGTGCGGCAGACCTGAGCGTGTGCGCTCTGTGGATGCCCCAGGAGGCTGTGCTGGGGCTGCTGCCTCCCAACTCCTCCTCTCTCCGCTCGGTGGAGTACCGGCTGCTCCGCGGGGGGCTCCTCGGCCTCGGTCTCACCGTCTCCCTGGCCTCTCACCTGCTGGTGGCCTTCAACAGGTACGTGCTCATCACCAAGCTGCCCAGCGTGTACCAGGCCCTCTACCAGCGGAGGCACACGGGCTGCATGATCGGGTTCTCCTGGGCCCTCGCCCTGCTCCTGGTCCCACTGCTGCCCGGGCTTTGGACCCCGGGCTCTGCCCAGCAGCCGCC